TACGTATCTATTTATTTATAATATTACGTAATATATTATTGTAAAAAATGAAGTTGAAAATTATGTTATTTTATATTTATAAAATTTTAATAATGAAACATGTAATTTATTTGAACAGTAGAAAGTCAAGTGAATTGTTATTTTTATCTTGCATTTAACTTATATCTGTTTAATTATAAATTTTAGTTTGATAATTCTTCCTAAATGTAAATAACGTTTCAAGTAAAATAGGCCAGAAGAGTATTATCTTTGTATGTAATAAAGGCTAAGTAGTTGTGGATCTGTTTCTCCTATAATTAAAAACGTGTATTGTTTCTTTATAAAAATTGTTAATATGAACGATTTATAATAAAATGTTCTTAAAAACATTGTACGTCCTGGTGTTTCGGAATTTAGGGTACACAAAGAAACTGTGCAGACAGCGAATTAAAAATCATTGTTTGATTTTATTAAATTACGTTTTGTTTACAATGGTTCACATACACACGTCTTACAAAATAGTAGGCATCGATACATTCACTGACTGTAAAAAAATATATTATTACACAATATGTACACCACCTAATTTGAATAAGTCTTATAGTTGAATAATATTTCTAGTTGTATGGCTTCCATTAAAAAGAAATCGCTTTAAATTTGTCCTAATAATTTTTGAAAATATGTACACATTAATAATTGTGATAAATATGTACAATTATCCTCTCGATGAAGATATATATCTAATTTCTCGTTTCGATAGTATTTCTAAATTTGCTAACGTAACTATCTCATTGAGGTACAAAGAAGTGAGAATTTTGATGCGTTTGATTCCATCGAAGATCTGAATGCAATCATATCACAGGTGGTATTTTTGTTTGAAAAAAACCTATATCATGTACATTAATCAGTATGATTATGTATTAGTAACTATGGCCTGAGTCAGATTCTACAAAATAGATCTCGTTTCACATCTGATTAATACGTGTTGAATTTATGGCAATAAATAGAATGTCGAGAAATGAAGAGTAAGAAAAAATGATATCTTTCGTTAAGTTTACATATTTACGTACTTATATTTATCAATTTCATGAAACTCGTAAAGATAAATTTTCTCTTATTCTGTTAACTTGAGAAGCAAAGCAAAAGGATTCTCTCTTTCATTTATCATTTTCTTTCCTTGTCTTTCATACTGTGAACTTTCATGCGCACAATGATTTAAGAAAATGTATCATACGTAACAGTACCTTATGTATTTAACTTATGAGCATACAGTATCTTTCATCAGTCTCTATAAAGTGCAACAACAATGCATAACAATACGCCACACCCTCTCCTCACGGCTTCGTTAAAAACGAAAATGCCGCATAAATTTCATAATATTCATTCGTATCGTGTATACATGGGCCAATTCAATTGAAGGTAATGAAACTGTCTCATAGTACTTATAAGTATAGAAAAGAGAGAAAGAATATAAAAAGATTAATATCACTCAATCTTTTTTCATGCATATAAAATAACGCTTTAGAAATACCAATTGCTNTACGTATCTATTTATTTATAATATTACGTAATATATTATTGTAAAAAATGAAGTTGAAAATTATGTTATTTTATATTTATAAAATTTTAATAATGAAACATGTAATTTATTTGAACAGTAGAAAGTCAAGTGAATTGTTATTTTTATCTTGCATTTAACTTATATCTGTTTAATTATAAATTTTAGTTTGATAATTCTTCCTAAATGTAAATAACGTTTCAAGTAAANTACGTATCTATTTATTTATAATATTACGTAATATATTATTGTAAAAAATGAAGTTGAAAATTATGTTATTTTATATTTATAAAATTTTAATAATGAAACATGTAATTTATTTGAACAGTAGAAAGTCAAGTGAATTGTTATTTTTATCTTGCATTTAACTTATATCTGTTTAATTATAAATTTTAGTTTGATAATTCTTCCTAAATGTAAATAACGTTTCAAGTAAAATAGGCCAGAAGAGTATTATCTTTGTATGTAATAAAGGCTAAGTAGTTGTGGATCTGTTTCTCCTATAATTAAAAACGTGTATTGTTTCTTTATAAAAATTGTTAATATGAACGATTTATAATAAAATGTTCTTAAAAACATTGTACGTCCTGGTGTTTCGGAATTTAGGGTACACAAAGAAACTGTGCAGACAGCGAATTAAAAATCATTGTTTGATTTTATTAAATTACGTTTTGTTTACAATGGTTCACATACACACGTCTTACAAAATAGTAGGCATCGATACATTCACTGACTGTAAAAAAATATATTATTACACAATATGTACACCACCTAATTTGAATAAGTCTTATAGTTGAATAATATTTCTAGTTGTATGGCTTCCATTAAAAAGAAATCGCTTTAAATTTGTCCTAATAATTTTTGAAAATATGTACACATTAATAATTGTGATAAATATGTACAATTATCCTCTCGATGAAGATATATATCTAATTTCTCGTTTCGATAGTATTTCTAAATTTGCTAACGTAACTATCTCATTGAGGTACAAAGAAGTGAGAATTTTGATGCGTTTGATTCCATCGAAGATCTGAATGCAATCATATCACAGGTGGTATTTTTGTTTGAAAAAAACCTATATCATGTACATTAATCAGTATGATTATGTATTAGTAACTATGGCCTGAGTCAGATTCTACAAAATAGATCTCGTTTCACATCTGATTAATACGTGTTGAATTTATGGCAATAAATAGAATGTCGAGAAATGAAGAGTAAGAAAAAATGATATCTTTCGTTAAGTTTACATATTTACGTACTTATATTTATCAATTTCATGAAACTCGTAAAGATAAATTTTCTCTTATTCTGTTAACTTGAGAAGCAAAGCAAAAGGATTCTCTCTTTCATTTATCATTTTCTTTCCTTGTCTTTCATACTGTGAACTTTCATGCGCACAATGATTTAAGAAAATGTATCATACGTAACAGTACCTTATGTATTTAACTTATGAGCATACAGTATCTTTCATCAGTCTCTATAAAGTGCAACAACAATGCATAACAATACGCCACACCCTCTCCTCACGGCTTCGTTAAAAACGAAAATGCCGCATAAATTTCATAATATTCATTCGTATCGTGTATACATGGGCCAATTCAATTGAAGGTAATGAAACTGTCTCATAGTACTTATAAGTATAGAAAAGAGAGAAAGAATATAAAAAGATTAATATCACTCAATCTTTTTTCATGCATATAAAATAACGCTTTAGAAATACCAATTGCTTTATCAGAATGTAGAGTATAAAAGCGTGGCGTTAATAAATTTCTCAACAAAATAAAATTAAAATAACTTACAAATACTGATATTGTAGAATAATATACAAATTATGAAAGTTGTATAAATAACTAGAAAAAAAAATAGAAAAAAAAAACAAAATTGTATTACTCATATGTTCTTTTGGATACTGTATAAAGTTCACACTGAGCTTCACGGTCATTTGAATTTATATGGCTTAAAGACAATTGATAATTTAAATAGGGTTTTCAATTTAAATTGGTATGTTAATTTCATTTTTAAACGAACAATGGTTATTCACGCTTGGCGACCATCTCAATTAATCATAAATTTCATTATTGTCAACCATATTTTTTTCTTAAACTTATATATCTAATGTATCTTTTAGTGGCAGCTTTGCTACTTCAAAGAATATCCTAAAATGTAAAGGAAAGAAAGGGGTCAGATAGATATGTTTCAGTTGTGTTTAAATAAAAGTAGTGTACTTATTTTTGCACTTACTTATGACTGTACTTGTTCCGTACTGTTGGCAAAGCCTCTTTGTGCTTCTTATGCAATCCTTCATTTAAGAGATGTACTATATCTCTTATGTCGTCAACTTTATAACCAGTGTAATATTCCAAAGTTGGAGTCCATCCCCCTAGATTTTTCATTTGGAATGCAAGAAGAAGTGCAGCAGAAGCCATTTTACTATCACTTAACGTCACGGTTGAATAATCCATTAGAGCATTCTCCAAAATATATCGAGCTAAAGTTAGTGTTGGCATCGAAACTTTAGCACACTATAAAAATAATATTACAATTAGTATTTTTGTATATTAGAGAAGAAAACCATACAAGATTAATCAATACTATGACATTAACGTACCCTAGCATATCGTCTGAGAAATCTATAAGAAAGAGGTATGCCGAGATCAAAATCTATCACTTTTAAAATACTCATTTCCATTCTAATTAATTCTCTTTGTTTGTAAATACCATCGCATATATACAAAAAATCATCAATCATTGGCGGTATTCTTTCCTGAAAAAAGAAAAAGAATCACATTGTAATTAGGGCGAACTAGTAATAGAATATGTTTTTGATACTTACATCATATTTACTCGCTACAAAAAGACTTGCAGCACCTAACAATTGTAATGTATCTTTTCCAACTGTTACCTTTGTCAGGTAGAGATCAACTAGTTTCACAGCCAAATATAAGGTTTCATGATTTAGTTCGAAAGACTCTTGAACCTCTACCATCCAATCTACTAACAAGGCTCTCATCCATCGTGAGAGACATACTTGCCTCTCCATGTAATCTGCAATAGGGAAGAAACGTTCTCTGCTTTTTAAATATTCGAAGATATCCATAGCGTAATGTGAGACTTGAAACGGGTCCAGCCAATTCTCCGCGTCGAAGTCCCATTTTACTCCTTCGGGTATTACTCTCTCGGGTACAGCATTTAATCGAGCAGCTGCTACTCTATCGGGTACAGCATTTAATCGAGCAGTTACTACTTTCTCGAGTACAGCATTTAATGGAGCAGCTACTACTGTCTCGGGTACAGCATTTAATGGAGCAGCTACTACTCTCTCGGGTACAGCATTTAATCGATCAACAGCTACTACTATTTCCTCAGATTTCTCAGGTACTGGTAATTTACTTGTTTCACTTTCTTTCTCAATTTTCTCCAATTCATTAGTCTATGGAAATTCACATATTTGAAAAGTTATACATAAAAATGTATAAAGTATAACATTAGCAACTGCTCACCTGAACATTACTTCTACGTGATTTTTTTTCAGTGTCTTCTCCTATATCCTCTAATGCACTTACATACAAAGAACTTTCGTCTGATTTTTCTAAGTCTAAACTACGTCTAACATTAACAATTGTACTAGGTATTTCAATTTTTTCAGTGACCTTTTTCACCGACTTTATACGTGGCACTAACTTTGGCTTTGGAAGTACTTCCTCAGGTTTATCAGATATAGCAACTGTGTTTTCAAGTGTTCGAATCGAACTTGTCTGAGTGTTGGGTTTTGTCTGAGTGTTGGGTTTTGTCTGAGTGTTAGATTTCGTTTGAGTGACTACTGCCTTTTTTATTACTTTCTTTGGATCTTGCTGGTGTGTTCCCAACGTTTTTCCAATAGCCTATTATGGAAATAAGAGAACAGTTAGAAAACCTATTTTAACCATAAAAATATAATGATAACGTACATTAGTAATGTTTCCTAAAGCAGATCTTTTCGCAGTTTTGTCCTTTTGCGGGGATCCTTCAGCTTTTCTTTTAAAACGAGGATCTTTACCAACTGGGGGCTTGATTAAAGCATTATTTAATACAGAATTTTGACTCCTAGTTGTTATTCCTTTTTTTGTTGCCATGTTAGCATTAGTTTGTTTAGTTTGGGCATTAAATACTTTCGATGGCGCCATTTTCATGAATGATTAAAAATATAAAAGTACGGTTTTCCCCTGTGCAAGAAAAATTAAAAATTAATCATGTGAAATTGTGAGTTTGTTAATATAATTTTATAGTTTCACTTCTTCAGGTTTATGAAGAAAATTAAAAAATCCTTAGAACTATTTAGATACAACTAACAGTTATCTAACTGTTACTAACAGTTAATTAAACAGTTATTATTAACAATTTAGTACAAGTTAAAAACTGAGAGTTTAATATAAAGTGCACATTTCCTCATTTAATAATGGCAAGAAAAAATGGATTGACTTGCTTTCACACCAATCTGCAAAAGAAATGTTTACATGAAATGTTCTAGCAGTATGTTTACATTAACAGTTTGGTATGTTTACAAAATGTTATTATATGACTTAGTATTTAGTTTCTCGCAAATTACTCCAACAATTACTTCAAATTATTTAAAAAAGTTATTCCTCTTTTTAATGACTGCTTGTCAACATGTCAGATAGAAAAAGAATGTAATATTAGTCAGTCAACAGTGCAAAGAATAAGACAAAAATACTGTGAAAGTATATTTTTAAATGTTGGAGGAAGACTAAAAAGTAGATGAATGAAGGATTATATGATTTGTCACATCTGCTGAAGCTTCAATTGCCACTGTGGCTCAAAAATTATTAGAAGTCGTAGAGCTCTGACCTCAACTCCATAGAGAATCTACGAGATTTACTAAAAAAGGTGAATTCAGAATTCATATGTTAAGAATTCAAGAACAGTGGGAACAAATATCTCTGGTTTATTGCAAAAAATTAGTAGAAAGTATGCCAAAGCAAATCAATGCAATTTTGCAAACAAAAATGTTATGCGCGAAATATTTAAAATAAGTATATTAAATATTGTTTGTGAGATATTAAATAATTAATATATTAAGTATTGGACATGGTGCAAAACCGAGTCAATCTATTGCTCTTGTTATTCTTCAAGAAGATATTATTGAAGAAATATCTTGTTACTTCTAACTGTGTGCATTTTCTGTTATCCTTCTATATTCCTAGCAATAAATAATAATTTATACAAAACTTATTTGTTCAGTTATGCTCCTTACTGTATATTGGAACTCAGGATCATTCATTTCATATGATAAACAATGAGCTGTGACTCATTGTAAACAATAAACGAACGTTATGGTCGAACGCGAACTATGTTTCCGAAATGTATAATACTTTTTGTTGAACATGATATATTATGTTCATAGTATCAGTTCAAAGTATCATGACATCCGAAACACTGTCCGCGGAGAAAGAAGACTCAATTTTTGAAAAAATATACGATTGTAGCATCGGTGGGTCGCGTATACGTGGCCAAACCTACAGTTATGAGAACCCATAAGCGTTCAGAATGAGTACGCGATTAAATTTGTCCACTCCCCATCCCGCCAACGTGATTTTATCGCGCTTCGTTACATTGTCGATCGGCTAATAACAAACTCGAGAACACTTTCTGTGATAAATCAAAAGAATTTCTCCACTTTCTTTGCATACAAGATCAACTGTTAGACCTGATTCATGGCGCGATGCATTCACGGAGGAAAAAACGCGGGAACACACATCAAGGACACCGTTAAAAAGTACACGAAAACGGATTTTTTCCGCGAAAACGAAGTTCACACGAGCAGTTCGAAATTGTGAGGTCGAATACAATGAAAAGCAATGAGACATGCAAGAAGTAGAAATTTGCCACGGCTTCCATGAAGGCAAGCTATCATGAAAACAAACTGTTCACTGGTATTCTTACTTTACGGGCGCAATATTTCTACAAAATCTACACGGATCGGTGATAAACGAATGATTTTAGTTAACCTGATACCGTTGGGATTATTTCTTGTGCTCTGGAGTGTTAATTTTTCTCACTTAAGAAATTCTTGTGTCATTAGTACGTTACTACAATGTCCGTTCGTTTCATCAGAGCAACTGAATTAAACTGAACACTGAAGTTGACGCTATTCAAAATTACAGTTACCGTTCCCGTAGCCGTTCCTATGATTGGCTCACTGCCATTGGTCGGGCCGGAACCAATTGCAGCCTTTGAAAGTCTTAGCGTGCCGCCTATTGGTTGAACGTTCAACCAATCACATAACTTCGTTTAAATAGTGAGAATAGCGTAGCAGGAGCAGGTCCTATTACTCTGTCGTTATTTATTTAATAACTTCTTTTTAAACAACGTTTTCTTGGAGTATAAATACAAAGAAAAATTTGAATCACGTTTAACATAATAATTGTATTACTTATATTACCGATTTATCGAATATGTATTTCTTTAAATATTCAAATCATTTAAATATCCATAAATTAATAATATAAATTTTTGTTAAATAAATTAATAATTTTAATGTTCAATAGAGAAAATTAAACTATGCTAAGAGTACGATAGGTGTCGTATGCGCCGGGAACCCCGTACATTGGCGTGACCTACAGGGTGGCACCTAATGTATTGTACTTGTACCGTTATCTTTACACCTGCATAAGTGTGGCGACGCCCACGCCACTGTGCGGGATTCTCGACGCATGCGTTACTTGTCTGACTCCTCGTGTCCTTATTTTCCTGTATTAAACATTTAAATTACCTTTGTCGCAATAATATTCAAACATTTATTTTATTAATTTATGAATGTTGTGTACACACTGGTAATTAATTACTTGAACATAATACATATTTGAGTACTACAATATCCAAGAAACATTCGATACTTGTACATTGGAGTGTAATTCAAAATATTTTTTTTTTGCTGTAGAATCTCAAGGTTACAAATAAATGTTTCTTTAAGTTTCAGTTTCCATGTATTTGTTCGTTGAATCGCACAATTCTACTACATATGCGCAAAAATGGCTACAACAATGTTTAACATGTTTCAATAAACAATTAACCTTTGCCCCGTATTTAACCGTTCGCCCAAATGTAAAATGGTAGTACATGCTCCAAACGCGAGTCGGAAGCTTACAGAATTGGCTGTGTAACGACGAAAATTCTGTCGCGGCGAGCATCTCTATTCGTTGGCATTCCGATAACCTTAGTAAACGCGATTCTTGCTAACATATTGTAAGGCTTTTTTTACATACCTAATAGTTATTATATATTCGTCTTGTACGTGTGCGTCGTTGTGTTCAGCATCTCAGGCTTTCGTCTCATTCGTTCGTGATTTTCGTATAAATTATCGAAAATGCAAAGTGAACGGCTGGTAGTTAAGTACGTCAAAGTGAACAACTGTTTCGCCTATTTGCCAGACACCTGGTTACGAAGACTAGAAACAGAGGTTGGTATTATACGTCTCATAAAATTTCATTCGACTATACACACATGATAGACATATGCATACATTTATACATAAATTCCGGTATTGAAAGCACAACGGTAGATAGAAAATTTCGTACGCTGGTCGAACGATAAAACAGATTACAGTTAGTACGAAATTCTTTCGTAGACGGATCGATGTCGCGATGATCTATTTCTTGTGGCGAGGCGCCAAATTTTGAATCAAGTTCAAATCAAAATTACTGTACAACAGAGTTGGGCATTGTTCGAATAAAATTTTATTTGAAGAATTTATTCGAGAATCTTATTCGGAGAATTTATTTAAAATATTATTCGAATAAAATATTATTAGAAATGTTATTCGAATAAAATATTGTTGGAAATGTTATTCGAATAACGCCTAACCCTGCTGTACGAAATCAAAATTACTGTACAACAGAGTTGGGCATTGTTCGAACAAAATTTTATTTGAAGAATTTATTCGAGAATCTTATTCGGAGAATTTATTTAAAATGTTATTCGAACAAAATATTATTAGAAATGTTATTCGAATAAAATATTGTTGGAAATGTTATTCGAATAACGCCTAACCCTGCTGTACGAAACTATGGCGATTCAAAGTTTAATAGAACACAATTACTTCGGATTACAGGAGAATGTTATCGAAATAGAGCACAAAGGTAAAACATATTACGTGTCCTGCAACGTTAGCGCAAATCCAAACGAGGTGTTATACCTCGGCACAAGTTTCGCACGAAGTTTAGGCATCGATGAAGGGGACGAAGTGTTCATTTCTTCTTTGAAAGATGTGCAACGTTTAACAAGAATTGATGTTGTACCTCGTACCGCCGACGACAGGGAGATCGTGGTTAAGTACAAAAGCAGTTTCACAATTGTATCTTATTGCGATAAATAAGAATTCGTTGATCGAACTCTAAATCATTTTGTAGGAACTACAAATGGAAAAGCTGCAATCGATTTTGCTCAGTCAGATCAGAGTGGTGGGCAAGGGTCAGCCTATTGTTGCATGGGTTTCAAAGTTCTCTTCTGTAACGTTTACCGTAGGCAAGTTCAACATTTGTTAGATTATCCTTAGAACTCATGAGCTACGAACTGTTTCGTAAATTTGGTAACATTTAAGTATATTACGACAATAGAGAATGCGATACGAATTAACTAGAACAAGTGGCGCCGCTTGTGACGAAATTTTAAAACAGTGATGAGGGGTCTGTACAAAGGCAAATCACGTAGCGGCAAAACGCTGAAACTAGTGATCAATTTACCGACAGATGAAATACATACTTGGAAATGTACACGGGTGCCGTATGCTGTACCTGTAATACCTGCAATCGGTAATTTGTTTACCAGTTTGAGCGTTTTGCCATTACGTGGTTTGGTGCTGTACGAACCCCTTAATCCTGCTTCGAATTTTACAATCGTTACAAATAAACTTTTTTGGTATGACATCGATGCAGGGAAGTTTTCTGAATATTTCTGTATCCTCAGAATGCTTTTTTAATCTCTGAATTCATAGATTTTATGCCATTACTAATACACGTATCCCCTTTACGACTATAGTAAATAGTGTTGTTGACAATCGGTAACTACAAAAATGAGCCGCAAGGCTCGAATAATCGTATCGTCCATTTTTGTGTATAAGCTGAAGGTCAGTTACGGAGAATTTACTATATCTGGGCAAGGATCATTTATAGTAGCGCCAAATGTAATTCAAGTTCCTCCACCTTGACAACAATGAATTGTCTTTTTTTGGTATGAAATGGATGGAAAATATGTAACCTTAACATAACTTCACCCTCAAAATATTTTTCTAGTCCTTCGAGCATCATATTTTAATTGAAGTGATGATAAATTATATATTCTATATATATAATATTATATAATATATATATATTATTATATTATATTATATATTATATAATATATATTATTATATTATATTATATATTATATAATATAATATAATAATATATATATAATATTATATAATATAATATAATATAATATAATATAATATAATAATATATATATTCTGCTTCTACTGTATTAAAATTTTTACGTTGTCATTCTTAATCACACAGACCATCTAGAGCCAAGTGTCAGATATGGAAAGCTCGAGCAATTGACAGAGGTGCACGTGGCGGACGTTGTGCCAAATAAAAATGTAGAGAGCTCGATCAAAGTGGCTAAGCAGTCCAGCAGCATAACAGAAGATCTCTTGACGACGTTCAGAAGATTCGCACAGTCCGCGGTCAGACACAGCGATTTCAAATCACCAGAGGCAGCCAGAAGCTCCGAGCTGCTTAAGAGTTTCCGCAATAGAAAGAAGTCGAGCATCTATCGGGTGCATCCGATGCCGAAGAGGATGGTCGAAGGTACCGCCGTCGACGAAACAGTGCGTGGTCCCTACCACGTGTTCGTGCCGCGAAAATCGGCACCGAAATTCGATGGCACCTTCGCCGTATTTCGCGTGAGGAAGCTGTCGGAAAGGAAGCAGCATACGAACGTAGCCAGCACCAGCTTTTTAACTAGAGACGACTCCGTTGTGCCCGAGTTGGCCCAAGAATTGGTTGTCAGGTTGTTCGTCCTTGAAGATTTGCTGGAGAGATCCCCTAACTGGAACCATTTCAACATCAACTTCCATCACAACAGTCTGTACGTATCGGACAGCGTGAGGCACACTTTGGACTTGAGGATAGGGGCCAAAGTGACCTTGTGCCAGGTGGAGCCTCCTCAGCAAGTGGCCCCATCCTCCATCGAACTGTTCTCATGGAAAGAATCGGTGACCGCCGAGACTTTCGAAAATTACGTGAAGACTCGTTTCTCTCGGGACGGGCTGTTCATTAATTCTTGCGCCGTAATCGTGCTCGACAGCGATCATCAATGCGTCGTGAAAATTTCGCCGGAGAATTGCACTTCCGCCCTGGTCGACGAGACCGTTCTGAAAGGGTTGCACGTGCATTCGAGATCGGTGGCTGAGAAGAGCCATCTGCGGGTCTCGGACGAGTTGGACCAAGAGAGGCCGAAGATGAGACAACACTTTACTCGGTAATCGAAGTCTCTTTCTTTGTCGGAGACGAATTCGCGCGATATTGTGGAGAAGAAAAGCGCAAACCTTTGATCTTCGGAACCTGATAAGAAATTATATTTCCAGGCATTTAGAGCACGCTCTGGCGGAATGTCGCCTCTCGCTCGATGTTAGTCTCGGTTTGCATACACAACTAGGTTTCGACTACGACCGGGAGAACATTTTGATCGCCGGCGATGTTGGTTCCGGCAAGACGACCGTTTGCAAACTGCTCTGCGAATATTTAGAGAACGCGCCGTATTTTGTGCACACGCAGACCATAGACTGTCGATCCCTAAAAGGTAGGGCTTGCTTTCAATTTATCATTCAATTTACTTGCGAAGACTGATGTTTACATTCTGTTCATTCGTTTCGTATCATTTTCTTAGGGAAAAAGGTTGAAATGATACAAAAAATTCTAATAACTGCGTTGAGCGAGAGTATCTACTATCAGCCTTCCGTGATATTCCTGGATGATGTAGAGTCCATCACGAACGCGTCCGCGAACGATGAAGAGATCACTCCGGACGCCATTAATGCCGCCAGGTATTTTTTTGCTGCTTACTTTTGATGTACACCATTATATAGAAAAATGAAAGAAAACGCAGTAATTGTTTATCACCAGGATCTCAGACATGTTAAGCAACACTATGTCACAGTATCAGGAAGTGTGTCACATATCAGTCGTCGCAACTTGCGCAGGTGTTAACAGGATCGGACAGAGATTGAGGCCAGCGAAGGGGTCTCACTTTTTCAGAACGGTTCTGTCGATACCAAATCTCGAAAAGGTACTCGATCGTGTTTACGCTTTATCACGTCATCTTTATCCGAATTTAAATCTTATTGTCTTTTTCTTTCGGAGTAATTAAAATAGCGATGAAGACAATTCGATGGAATAATAAATATTGGGATCAGAAAGATCGGTAGAGTCGCGATAGAATTAGGCGAATCGTCGTTCAACCAACAAGGTAACATATTCAAGTTAGATTTTGCCGATTTTAACCCTTAGAGCTCTATGGACGCATATATGCGTTTGGCGAAAGTCACCCGTGCAGCCTAAGGCCGCATTTATGTGTTTTCTCTAAGTCATCGGCCTGGACTAAGGGCGCATATATGCGTTTGTCGATTTTTTCAATTAATATGCAGTTCTTTTCGTGTAAAATTAATACAGGGGCACTCGTTAGTAATTCGCCTTCCTTAGGTAGCGGTTGGGCAATATTAGGGTCATAAAAATCATGGGGAATTTCCGAAACTGAAATCCCATTTTATGTGTCCCACTCTCTAATCAATTAGATTTCAAAATAATTACCTGCACTGTCACCTTTTCGCGACTCGAAGCACTCGAAACGACTCAGTCAGCAGTACCGTCTTGTGAATGTAAGAACCTCACGGACTCGCTCGCGTCAACAACGATAGCGCGGAATATAACTTGTTCGATTATTTTTTTTTATTCGTGACACCCTACAGAATGTCAAATCTTGAGGAATATTTCACAAGGGACGACAGTGAAGTAGAATATAGTGAATCACTATCATCGGACATTGAATCAGAAGATTAATTATTTAACCTTCTGCAAAAGAATCACTATAATTTATTACTGTTTGCGCCTTGAATGGTCACTTCAGTGTGGCAAAAATGTATTCCGCCCCCAGCGATGGTCAGCGATAGCCGCGCCCGTCCCTACGAACCGTTTCGGCCAGGAGTATTCAGAGCTCAAAAGGTTAATGGTAAATGCCGTACACTGTAGTTTTACCTCTGTCTTTCATTACTTTCGAGTTATATTCCGTTATATTCTAACCGAAGGCCTGCCGACCGCTGAAATTCGCAGGTATATTGACCAGGAAAGTCGGTACCCTTAGACCGCAGCGACAATTAGCAATCACACTGGTACCTGCGCAGCCTCTTTTGACTACTAATAAAACAATTAACCAGATACAACCCACTGTCATCGTTCAAAATGCTACAAACTTTTGTACGTTTATACGTCCATAGTTCTACAAATCAAGCATGGTACAAGACTATCATTCATTATGCATAATTATTGTTGAGCGGCGAAAAACAAAAACACCCCAAAGCACATATCCCCTATTTTGAAGCAATGATCACACACATTCCGAGTTTGCATTAAAATGAATTCACAATAAATACAAGAAATTAAGAAAAAAAGTAGAATTTTTAATATACTGTTCGAACAAATAAATTTTCATAACCGTGCATTACATATCTGTATTCTCCACTCAAAAACAAACAGTTTAACGAAAATTCAACTTTTTTTCGACCTCTGGTTCCCGAGATGTCTCAGACAATCTGATTTTAACCCCCAACTTTGAGGGCTGTTTTCACCGCTTCGACGCGGATGTTTGCCGATAAGAAAAAACACGTGTCAAATATTTTTCGAAAAACTATATCTTACGTGAGTCTCATGAAAATCATCTTGCGTAACTTGAATATGTTCCCCTGTAAGGGTAGCACGTTAGGACAAACTCGCGTCAGACGGATTAGCGGAATTGCGAACTGTCTGCTGCGGTATTATACGATTCGCGTTCAGCGGTGTAACTCGTGCTCTCTAATCAGGTGGATAGAATCGATATTTTGCAATTAATGCTTGGAGACAACTTGTACCTGCCCCGAGACGTGAATTGGGATTACTATGGAAACAAGACCGAGGGATGGATGGTTCAAGATCTGAGCGATTTCGCTGAGAAAGCGGTGTTTATTGCTTGGAAGCGCCACGGTAAGATGACTCTTAATTGCTTTCGTTTACTAATTAACACCAAACCTGTCGAGCACGAAAATGACTGACACATGTGTTGCTTTAAAAGAATGCCATTAATGAATTCATGTAGCTGTTCCGTCAATTTTGTTATAATTTGTGATCGAATTAAAAAATTCATTCAATCATTTCCTGTGGAACGGTCCTTTTAATTTCAACAATTTTGAAAGAAAACGCATTAAACCGGCTGTGTTTCGAATCGAAAGCTCTTTGAAACAATTGATTGCCTTTGCTCGAAACGCATGCTCGCGACAGAATTTCCGACTACTTCGCGGCTCACAACAGTCAATTGACATTTTATCATGGCAATATAAGCTGTGCGAGTCCGTGCCTGCGCGCATGCCAGTGTGCTAACAATCGTATCATTGTTGATTCGCCGGGAATGAAAGGATCCTCGAAGCCGCCCGTTGTTATAACGGAAGAGGACGTGTCGATTGCCCTGAAGAATTGTACGCCGATGTCTTTGCAAGGCATACAATTGTACAAAGGCGAGGGCCACCTTTGGTCGGATATCGGGGGCCTGGTGGAAGTGAAAAGGTGCCTCACAGAGATTCTACAGTGGCCGTTGAAGTACCCAGAAGTGTTTAAGAACGCGCCGATAAAGCTCCAAAATGGCGTTCTGCTCTACGGGATGCCGGGCACTGGGAAAACTATGCTCGCAAAAGCGATCGCCAACGAATGCGGCGTCAATCTAATTAGTGTCAAGGTATAATCGCAAATCATCCGTCTGCTACGATCTCCAAAATCATTCTTTGATATTCTGATAAACATACTATTAAGCATAAAACTATTTTTATCTGCACGGTAATTTTAGATAGATTTCATTTGCGTTTTAAATGTCGCCACTCGAAGCTTTAACATTTGACTCATTAAATTCGTAACATGCGTCTTGTATTACATGTGCTATAATTTACTGTATTTTTTACACGCCAAGGGTTCGATATTTTTGATTTTCATTCAATTTTTAGGGCCCGGAATTGCTCTCGAAGTACATCGGCGTGAGCGAGGAATCCGTCAGAACCGTTTTCGAAAGGTAACCAACGCTTAATGTTTCCAATGTATTTAGTAAAGCCGAGCACAAATTTTTGACAATAATATTCCACATATTTATATATTTATATTTATAAATTTATATTATATATATATATATATTTATATTTATAAATTTATATTATATATATATTTATATTTATATTTATAAATTCAGAGCTCTTCGAGCGAAGCCGTGCGTTCTGTTTTTCGACGAGTTCGATAGTTTTGCTCCCAGGTGAGTCTACGACTGAAAGTAAATTGTGAATGGTTTTGACGTTTTTCTATCGATTTGCCATTGATTGTAGACGGGGCCACGATAGCACCGGCGTGACAGACAGAGTGGTGAATCAATTGTTAACCCAAATGGACGGAGTGGAGGACAGAGAAGGTGTCGCGGTCGTAGCAGCGTCTTCGAGGCCAGATTTATTGGATCCTGCTCTATTGAGGCCTGGACGTCTTGACAAGGCTTTATATTGTCCCCTGCCAGATGAGGTACATCGCCAGTCTTCCATCCAAGTATTCTGACTATATTTTGTTTCCACGAGTTAAGCCTTTCAGGAGGAGAACATCGTCGCATTTGTGACACAAAGCTTTCGCATCTAAGCAGAAACATTGCAAATGAATAATCTAATTATGCAACTGCAAAAGATTACTACATATTCGTCGCCTTTTTCGGTATCGAAGACCTTAGTGTGCAATCTAAATATCTAATGTTTTACATTTTAATTCAGTATTTCGTTTTGAAAGGGTTGTTTTTAATATTCTGTGAACCAGCCACAAGCTCTTTGTCATTTTATTTCGTCCATAATTGGTGCAGGTCGAAAGAGAAGGTATTTTAAAAGCACTGTGCAGAACACAGAAGGTAGACACGACCGTATTAGACTGCCAGCAACTGTCGACGATGACTTCCGGTTTCACGGGCGCAGACTTGAACGCGGTGGTCACCCAGGCCAGATTTTCAGCCTTCGAGGACGCAGTTGCCGAATCTCCCGTAAGTATAAACAATACGAACCAAAATCGAACAATTTACGAAATCGCGAAGACAACGAGCAAACGTTTTTAATCCAAGAAAACATTGTTAACTGAAGAAGCGAATGTCGTCGGTGTTTAACTAAAAATTGTAACCGGACACGCAAGTCCCATTTCGAAACATAGCGTTCAACGAACTTCGACTGTCACGCGTGGTTGACACTGATTTTTAACTAGGTTTCGAAATGCAGTTTTCAGTTTCGAGAAATTCAGTTTAGTAAATCGAATAAAACTGACTAGGATTTCTAGAATGGAAAATGTCGAAGCTGATGCTTCCTCCGCGGCAAGTTTAAACTTTCTAATCCCGGTTTCGTTAATGAAACTCCTTCGATATCGTGGGAATGTGTTTGGAGTTGATGCTAGGCATCGGACGTGTCAACGGAATTTCCTGGAAAACTGACGAGCTAACGAGAAAGCCTGGCGCCAGTTTAGCGGCCCCGACAAAAGCGAAGGGATCGAAATGGCTGGCCTACGCGCTGGTTCCGGCGTAGATCAAGATACCGGCGGAAAGAAAAAAAAATAAGGGAACGAATCAGCCGGTGAATACTCCTAGAAAACATCTCTTCCCCGTCGCTAACGATCGTTTCGTTTTGTTGGCCGCCCCGTCGTATCTCTCCCCGGCGCAATAATGAAAAGCATTTTAGCGCGACTCCGGCCGAGAATCATTTGTAGGGAGCTTCCGAAGTAAGATAGTGCGTAATGATGATAATATCGTTAGGTGTACACCCCGCCGTCTCTCCTATGTATATAGAGTGGCCTGGCTAGGTAGAGGCGGGTAGGTGGCGCGATATAACTGAGGAAACGTAGACCAGGTTTATTAGCGCACGCTGCCGAGAGCGCCAGCCATCCCCCATCTCGCTCCACTTCATCCTGGCCTACGCCTCGCTGAACGTCGAGGGGGTTATTATCTTATGCGTTATAATGATACACGGTTTAAGGCCTGCAGCGGTCCTGCAAAATCGAAAGGCTGACACCGTTGCCGCCTGTAACATCCTGCCGACTCCAAGGCGTCGCCTTTCCCATCTTCTGCGTCTAGAGGACGAAAATTCGACAGAGGTCTAGAAAAGCACTGGAAAAGAAGAGGACTGGAAAATTCACGCCATTGTGGAAATTGCAGCACTTGTTTCGTCGAAGGCGATTTTAGCAAATAACCCTTGCTAAATTTCCCTAAGGGTTCTTCGGATACGAATTACCCTATAGGAATGTCGGTCACCTGTGGTATTATATTGCACCTTGCACTGTTATTTTCATGTACTTGCCCAAGTTTGGACAACGCCACGCCGCTGTGCGGGATTAAGAGCCAATGCGTCACCTACCCTACTCTTTGTGTAATTTATGCTGGTTGATATATTTTTCGTACATTTCTTTAATTACAGAGGGTGCCAATTTGTTTCAGTAGACAAAACATTGGGGGAACTGTAGTAGACAAAACTTTGTGGGGAACGCTTCGAAAACCCCTGTTCAAAATTCTTGAAACTAACTCTACTAGCAATATCTCGTTGCATTTCTTTTATTTACGTATCGACTATCTAACTAATATTTAATATTTATATTACTGAATGGAACAACAATGAATGGAATAGATGTAACTTGCAATTACTGGTATTTAATTACTGTGCGATCGTCTCCGAAACTGAAGGCAATTTCGGTTAGGAATGTCAGACGGAATTAATTCTAGTCGGTTTCGCGGTAAAATAAATGTTCCGAAGCACGATGAGAAGCTTTGTGATCGGTTCAACGCGTACAACGACCGATTGCACAGGGTGCGCGTGGAACGAGCAGAGGTTCGGGGACTATTAATTAACTTCCTACTGAGAAAACGAAGTTACGCCGGCACTTACCTACCGGAAGAACACGAATATCCAAACTGTGCGTCTAATTAGCGAGCGAGCGAGCGAGCTTCCCGAGCGCGTCGCATTTGGAGAGGAACGCGTCCCCGCGTTGATAAGCGATAATACATATGTAGATGTATAGGTCGACTTGCCGGGGTGTTTCGCGTTTAGACCGACGATTAATGTCTTCGCCTTTTCAATTTGATCGTAGAATGGAAAAATCGAGGCCAGGGACATCAAGGTCTCTCAGAAGCATCTGATCGACTCCGTGAAATCGACTCATCCCTCTTTGTCCGACGTTGAGAAACAGAAATACGCGAGAATGTGAGTGTCTGTTTACAACGCGATTAATTGCATGATATTTTTGTAATATTTATTTCTCGTTCTTTCGATTGCAGCTACGCCAGATTCGCAAAGAAGGACAACTTCGTCGAAGGGGTGAAGAATCAGAGGGCTACTTTAGCGTGAACTCAATTATTATGGGCATTTTAAAATATTCGAGATATGTTCTAGAGAACCGGCGGTTCTCGACGCTTTTTCTATGCTTGAAGCTTTTTATAAACGCAAGGAATACATATATTTCCTTTATATAAATGTAAAACTGCAGAGAATTAATATTCTCCAAAATAAATTCTCCTAAATAAATTGAATGCTTTAAATTTAATGGTTCAGATGCATTGTTTTACGTTTCTACGAATTTATTAGGTCATCGATTACTCCATAATTTTTCTATACAATCGTTTCACACTTAATTACTTAATGTGACAGTTTGGAAACCTTCTGAGACCACTGTTCAAGACACAATTTGCTAGAAACCGCATTGTAATTCGCCCGGTGAAATTTCGCAGCGAACTATCTCTTAGAAGCGTATTACCACAAGGGTAGTTCTCCATCGTAGTGAGAAAATAATCCGAAGCCCCCGGAATGTCCTGTACGCGACGAACGCCCTCTGACTATCAAAGAATCGAGGCTCTCGAATCGAGCATTGTGCACGAAAGAATAACACGGGCCCTGTCTTATTCTAATTTTCATTTTATCACGGACGCGTGTAGCTGCAGATCCGCGAGTAGTAAAGTTCGAAGGGGTCGAGGAGCGGGGGCTGAAAGGTGGTCGGGGGCGGCACTTTTCCTCGTTTAGCCGAGTATAAGCGTAATCCGGATGCCTGCGTCTCTCAAGAAACTCAGGCCGCCCCCGCGGCTGCGTTCCGCGCCAGGCGAAGCTTAACAGCACGGGCACAGCGGCACGGAACTTTTCGTATTAATAATCGGTATAATAATTAGTATTTTCATGCGCGACTTAGCAGGGAGGACGCGAGCTCTCGCGAGGTTTCGCGCTGGCATTGGCGGCGTGCATCCGCGTAGGCCGAGAGGAGCCGAGCGAGCGCTCTGAACTTCGGTGGATCTTGATTTTAAGTTCGGGGCGAAGGAGGCGCATATTTCACCCCGCTAATGTCCCGCCAGATAAACTACAATATTAGCTGCCTTCGCCCGTGATTTAATTTAACTTTGCCCCGGCGCGACATCCGCCTCTAGCTTTCGGCTGCCTCAGCCTGGTTAAACCGGCGTGCAAACCCACCCCCTACCAGCCCTCCCGCGCCGTCGACATGTGTTTCTGGTTTACAGTTTTGAGGGTTGGATAAGTAGATTCTACGGGGCTCCGCGAATTATTGGGTTATCGAGCGATAAGAAAACGAGATGTCAACCCCACCACGAAATCATGCTTCTTGGCGGATGAGCCGTAACGGCGATTTATCTGCGATTTCTCGGACAACTTGGAATCCTCTGTGACATCGAATAGACCTCACTGATGTCTGTTACTTCGTAATTGGACTGCGGGTTTTGTGCATTTATGGCAAAAGTGAAAGCTCGTTACAGCATATAATCGCGAAAAAATTACAAGTTACTGAAGAATGTTGATCTATTGATTCCGACTTATGAAAATTATTTAATGCTGAAAGAACGTTACACCTGGTTCCTATGTCTTGCAATCGATTTAGACAATTTTTATTTCGCATAATGATCCGCAGTCTAGTCGTAATGACGACAAGACTGAATTTAGTTACACTTTCGCGATTTTTATTCCGATGTATGCTTGGATTAAGGTTCAATCATTTTCTATGAGAGAGTCCTTACAAATTTAATATGTTGGCTTGATGTTATACCAATTGCTACAATTGAGATTATCACGCAACAAAAGAAGGCATGATCACATTTCTACAAAATAATCGCACACAGGATTCAGATTTGTATTTGCTTTTCAGATTTGTATTTGTCCCAGTTCGTTTTATTCATGATCTTAGATTCTCCGTATTAAGTGAAATCACAACGCAGCTACAGAGACAAGAGATTCGACGTGGCACGTACGAGGGTTAATTGCGAGGGTAAATTGCTCATGCACTTTGATAATGACAAAACCTAGAAGCAGCGAACTTTCTTGGTTACCTGATTCTTGGTACACCGAAAATAAATTCTGGCTTGCGATCGTAAATCTCGGGGTAATGTAACTCGACTCTCCGAGTGAACTTTATTAATTAAAACAAGAGCCATTAGATTCTATGTATTTCGGAGAACGGGAGACAAGTTTATCTATACCATCGCCGTGAACGTCTAGAATCCCGGGGCTGATGAATCTTTCGCGTCGCATCGGAAACAGCACATTAACTTCGAGCCTACGCTAATGAAAATTAGTCTGCCTTTTTGAAGAATACGCGAAAATTAATGTTGAACCTTGTAGATTGTAAATTGTTACCAGGTAAACATCAATCTATTCGGACCAGTGGTTTTTGAAATCGAAGTTCGTAAAACCAGCATGCTTTTGGATAATTTTGGCATTTTAATTTACCCTGAGAAAAAGGTAACAGTTACAAATTTTTATCTCGGAAACTATTCTCCCGATTGAGTTAATTCTTTTTTTTATATGAATTTACAAGGTTCAGTTTATCATATATATTTTTCCAAATCCATAAATTATTATTTAATTCTGAGGACGTTATTATTTCTATGAGAATGTTACCAACTATGGAGTAATATCACTTGGAAGAATTCGATATACTCGAGTACAAAAATTTGTGTTAAAACTTAACAATTATCACTAGATTGCGGATTTGTATGCAAAATAAAAATTGTCTATATCAATTACTAGAAATAGAAACTAAATAAAAAGGTCACTTTTCTTTTAATAATTTCATTACATTGAAAATAATACATTGATATTTTTAAATTCTTTTAATCTCACTGGCACTTTAAATTGAAAATACTCATTTCTACCATAAGCGCATAAAATCCGCAGTCTAATTATCACAAATCAATGTAACAAGCTGTACTGTTTTCCACAAGGATTGCAAGTATGGGTCCGCCTCCTTATACATATATCAGAATACCATAAAATACATTAACATGAAATAAAATAAAGCAAGACAAAATATAATAAAATACGATACAATAAAATGAAATAAAATTAGAAACTTATGCGTATATAAAATGTGTTTAAAAAAATATTATAAAATCATACTATAAATCAACAACCATATGCATGTTTAGTTTTCTATTGCCTTTGCTTTTCTCGTCACTACACGAGATATACAAAAATGAACGTGTTATACTCTAATCGACCAAAAATATTGAACTCTGAAAAATTTGTCTTTATCAGGACACTTAGGCAAAATGTACTTCAGCCAGTTCGCAGCGTTGAAGACGTTCCAGAGTGTTCGGGAGCGCGGGTAAACGCGTCGAGGCAAACAAACTTGCACTCCCGATTATTCTCAGAAGAATTAGGATGGCATTCAGTCCGGCGGAAATCATGGCGGCATTGTCGTGTATCCTTCGAACGCGGAGACTGATGCTTTTCCACCCCGTTCCCGTCCCCCGTGTTCCTTCGGTTCTCGTTCTTCGTCGTCGGAGAAAAGTGGCGGAACGAGAGCGCCGGTGAGACGGCGCAGTCAAGTTTTCAAATGTCAAGGTAACGAGATTAGCAGGACGAGAAACGGTAATCAGGAATAAAAATGCTACAACCGACGGCATTTACGCTAACTAATCTTCTTCAGGAGGCGAGGGCGGTAACGGAGTTAGGAGCAGCCGGCACCCCTCCCGTTTCTCCGGGGTTTTCGTCGCCGAGGCCGGCTTGTTAGCCGGATAATTGGCCATTTTTATGCTAAGCAGACCCGCGGCTGTTACGGCGGCTCGCCATTTTCGTTTCCGCTTTTCTTACGGCCGGCTCTTGTTCTCCGATTGATTGTCGGCCAGCTTCTTCTTCCGCGGTCTGACCCGACCGCGCCGATTGTTTCCGCCATAGTGTCGCGACGCTTAACGCGCCGTTTCCCTTCAGACCTTCTATTTTTACTTCCAGCTGCCCGCATTTTAATCCCCCGGACTGCAGACAATTTTTCAAGCACGTCTCGGAAATTTGATAACGTTTTTTGGCGCAATATTGTTAATTATTTCTTCGTGGTTTCATCGCTTTGGATGAACAAGATTATTGAGATACATGAGATAATTATTGTTTTATGTTAAACATTGGAAAATGGAAGTCAAATGATCGAGTTTTTCATCATTGACTCGTGTAAAGTATTTGCGAATTCTTCGGGAATGATATCATTTTTAATGTCTGTTATTGAATGTATTTCTGAATTTTTTTTCGATTTTATCAGGCTTCTTCAAATAATATATTCAGAAAATGGAGATTTAACTTGTATATATTCGAACGTGAAATTGGTTTCTCCATGAATTACGTTGTTACTCGGTTACGGATTTGCAGCAATTTCTTTTCGTATCGTTTATTTCGTCTTCGAATTTATCGAATAGATTTTAAGAGCTTTTTTTTCCTAGTCGGTTTTCTACTGTATATATTTCAATTGGCGCACTCTTTCTCCATTTTCTCCGTTTCCTTTCTCTATACATCGCGGCCCGTACAAGATAAGGCAGTAACGGTGGTCGGTGCCACGGTAAGGCGATTACCGAATCACGGAAATGCATTTCTCTGGTCAAAGTGTGCGGCTGCCATTGTGGCGGAAGCCATGAAGAAGAAAAGGACCTGATCGAGCACCTTCCTGTTCTGCAAAAATCGTCCGCCTCAAAAATTTCCCTCTAACCAAGAACGAATGTCCTTTCTGTCAGCCGTAACTAGTTTTATGAACGAAATCGTTTGTTGTTTACGTCGATCTAACATATTGTACAGTTTTCTATACGATAAAGAATATTTCCAAATCATTCTCGTTTTCCAATTATAACATTTCCAATTATTCTTGCTTCTCTAAAATCATAAATCTAAAATTATAATAAAACACGTCGGAGAAACTTAAGAATGTTGCCAACTTTCTCTTCAAGTTATTAAAATTATTAATCGAAGAAATACGTATTTATTTAAATTCAATTTTTTATAATTGGAAGATTTTAATTTTGTATCAAGATCCGCGATCTAATTATAATGCAAAAGAAGATGCAAAAGCGCGTCAGCCGATTAAAGAAAGCGTTTCCAGAGAAAGAGACAACCGCGTAAAAGATTGTACTCTCCGTGTTTTTTTTATAATACTCGTTTCGCAAGCCTTGAAGGTAAAACGCTTCTTTTTAATTAGTGGCTTGCTGGTTCACGGATTCGATTTTTCCCAGGCATCCGGGAGCGTGAAAATTAGAGAAACCCGGGCGGGAAAATTGAAAATGGTTGCACGCG